GTCTTACCTGTCTCATATGGATATCCCTAGTAGGAACGTTCTCATAGCCACCAGCGAGGCGTTCGTCCTAAAAATGGAAATAACCCGATTTTTTATGAGTACTTTATTCTTCTCCTTTCTTTTTTTCCATAAATGTAGGTGCAAGGAAATATCTCACCCTGTTCGAGCCGTCACTCCAGTGACCAAAATGTTCCATTTCCTCGATCATCTCTTTACAGAATCTCTCAGAAACTAGGCGGATAGTCATAGACATCAGTACATGCCTGCTCGATAACGGTGTCTTCTTCGAGAAGTCTGTGGTAGCCTGGGTGGACATATCGCGCCTCCCAAAGCTGAAAAGGACCAGAGATATGCAGTCAACTTCGCGGGGTAAACCAGACGCTCATACGATTGATACCTTTCGATTCTCGAAGATTTCCCACATTCTCAGGGTGTAGCTTGCCTTTTTGAAGTATATCGACGTATTCTTCACTGACTATGAGGAATCCAAAGTCCTGCTCGTTGTCCACGTACATGAAGTGTCCCTGAAATTGTTGATAGTTATGCGAACCGGTAAGGAGAAGAATCAGTAATGTTTGGTTACCTTATCTCTAGCCCATTTACAGAACGACATGTCCACGTCGAGGTGTTTGTCATAGAAATACGGCGTTTTCATTTCTTTCATCTTCTCCTTGTTGATCAAAAGAGCGGTGGTCACGAATGGAACCTAAACAGCATAGAAGATTGCCTTAGGGCCTTTATTCAGGTACTTGCTAGCAACTCTAAAAGGACTCACATTCCAGACGCCGACGCGTTTTCGTTGCACGATTGCTATGTAGTCTTCACTTCTTGCATAATATCCGTTCGGAGCGATGTCTCCCCAGAAATTCGTGAACATTTTTCCCGGCTGCGCTAGCATCGGGGATATGATACCTCTGAAAATAGTCAACGTGCATTAGTGTACTGACAATGCTAAAAAATTAGCTTGAAAGGGTAACGATGAATTCTGTAGGAAAACTCGGAGGCCAACAGGAATCCTTGGCATGTATTGAAGGGTGCCCCATAAAAGCAGACGAATGCTAGAGTGTGATCAGTGTGCACACGGGATAAGAAAGACGCTGAAGAACGAAAGCTCACCCGAGGGAGAACGCTTTTTGACTGTTTGATTACCCGCGATCTGGTCGCCGACACTTATCGGCTGCTCTCTTCAACCGTATAGCGCTCTTTCTGCTTGAAACGGCTGGGAAGTCAGAACGCGAAGATCACCCATATATTGGACGCTCAGAGCGCCGAGGAGCGTGTATCGCCCCTCTATGCGTCTGAGCATACCTTGGTTGCGAAACGCACATCGGTCCCGCACCCCTTAAATCAGAGCCCGCCGCTCTGATCCAAATAATACTTTCCAGCCTCCTCGACCTCAACCTTATCGGCACTCCTCCTTCAGTCCGAATAGACCATGTATCAACACATGAGGATAATATTTCCTACGACCCAGTTTGACAACATTAATTCAGGACTTCCCCCCCGACAAATGATCCGACGTTTCTCGGAGTAAGCAAAAAACCCTCATATCCCTCGATCCTAGAATCGACGCAAATTGTCTCGATCTTCGAGCGAGGGCCCTCTTACGTCAGCCCTACACTATCAGGCGACAAATTCGGCGACTTTGCAACCTAATCGCTCAGAGAGTCCACGAAAACAACGCCCATCAGTCACACAGCAAGAATTGTCGCAAAGTCGAAACTACCCTTTGATCGCGCTGACATAGAGGATTACTGAATGCACACCTATTGGATGCAGATGTGCGATAACTGGTACCCCCGCTGAATGCCTTACCACTAGGATGCTGCCGGTGGGTAGAAAAACAGGAATGGCAATTCCTCACTAACGACCCTACGCCTGGCCTCCTTGTTCCGCGCTATGAGTCGCAAGACATGCTAGAATCGCACAATGAAACACCTAATCCTTACGCCTGCTGAAACTTAGGCCGATGTCAAATATTTTGCGAATCCGCGGCGATACGCTAAGCGCCTGCGTCGCGCTCGGCGCCAGTGAATCACGACGGACGACTGGACTAGTGCCGCAACGCGACCGGCGGACGCATGCGAATCGCGCGGCAATCGCTAGCTTACGCTAATCATGCCTACCGAGTCCGAAATGGCCAGGAACGCGGACAGAGACAGTAAACCTCATTGCACATTTGCTACGGCGTCTCTATGAAACATCATCGTATCATTCTCAAGAAAGCCTCTCTCCCTCACAGCTGCACTTATGCCCCTACATCTACATCACATTAACACATTGACGACATTGAGACGCGGTAACGCGTCTCACTTTGCGCACCTCGTTGGACATTGAGACGCGTTACCGCGTCTCACCCTTATCATCCCTTTTTCTAGGGCATGCGCAGCTTTTTCCCGAATTGTTTGTCTCTCTTCTATGGATTAGAACATAACATTATTGTGAACGACATAGGTCATTGTTTGTTCAAATATGCTCCAGTTTAGAAGAAGTTTTCCAAGCTCACCGAAACCGGCGGCTTGGTTCATTAATAGTTTTCATGCTATTCTCATGAACACGTCAATAAAAAAGGGTAGTGAAAGTAAATGCAAATCTAAAGAGACAGAAAAATACATGTTTCACTTGGTATAACCACATCAAAAGAGCTTTTGGCATCCACTACAGATAAAATGACTAAAATTTCCTTTTTCATTACCATTACATGTTCTTTAATCGGAACTTCGTCACTATACTCTATATTACCTTCTACGCATTGACTGTTACTGAGATGTTTTGTACCACTGGTGCTTTAAAAAGTTATCAATAAAAATTCACGGATCCGAGGTGCGGCGGTCGCACTCGCAAAATCGGCCCGGTCCCACACGGCCAAAAAAGCCAAAACGCGCGCGGTCGCATTTTTAACGTGCCATGTGCCTTGGATATTACTTACACTTCGTAGTTCACTGAGTATTCTATCAGATGTTGTAGAGTTTTGACGTTCGTCAGAAAAGCATCTCCATCCAGCGAAAAGAGGAATTCAGCGTCATAGCGTGAGGCGAATGTCCTAAAATGGTTACCTAGCCACTTTTTTGGAAAACGATTAATCCCTTGGTGCTTACAAGGCCTCCTGTCCACGCTACGTCTTGTTTTCGATACTCAAGTTCGTCAATGACTTTCTTGGTGAAGTTGACGAGCCATATTTCGAAAGGAAGTCCATCACCTAAAGGAGGATATCAGTAGTTTAGTCGGCGGCGTTTATACTGCACTTCATAGTCGCGAATCGCCTCTGGCTCAAAGTATAAACGCTGTCGCAGAAGACAATTGACTGCAATCCTTACCGTTTGATATTGGATTGTTGTGAGTTGTAGATGAAGAGTGCGATTCTTTTCTTAGGATAGTCGAGATGAGCGAATGCCTCAAGCATCTGGAAAAATAGGTGATGGGAACTGTAGAGGTAATGAAGCTGGCGACTTTGGCACGAACCTCTTCGATGAATGGAATCGGCCGAGCAATAAAGACCGATATAGCGACCAGGGAAATCGGCTGGGTCCTTCTTCTGAAAAGAAAATGATTACAGAAGACTCGGTAAATGAGCAAGAGATGAAGACTCAACTGCCAATTCGAGTTTCGGCTTCTTCGCACAGATTGTGCATCCCTTGGTGGCTGACCAACGGTTGGCGACGTAATTGGCCAGGTAGTTTAGGTGTCTCTTGCTGGGACCATTACCGTGCAAGATCGCCGGATGAGTGTTGTAGGCAGCATTGTAAGCCTCAACATATTTATTGCGGAAAAGATACAAATATAATCGAAAATATTGTGATACATTAAGCCTGAAAAATTATAGTAAACAGTCGTTATGTGTAATAACACTTGGCTAGCTCACCATTTAGTGTCCCCCCACTAGATCGCGGATGAGATCCGCTTATGAACTCCTAGACTACCCCAGCTCATGCCGGGTTTCTATTATCTCCTTAAAGCGGGCACATCTCCACGATACATCTATGGAACACATTTTTCAGATGGCACGATAGAGGAATCACAAAGATTAGGGATAAGCCATCACCACGGTTCGAAAGTGCTCAGCATGAGCGGTATAGCCTTGCCAACTGTGCTACAGTGGACTTACACCGTTGATCGAGCGAGTAATGTGGCCACGTGTCTGCGTGTCGCTGGTTTCTACGCTCTCCCATCGGCATCAGCAAATGTTCTCTGCTAGCTCGTCCGTCGCCGCAAAAGCAAGGTTCTAGATCTTCTTTCAATTTCCCCCTCCATCTGAGGTCGACTAGCACCTCTACTATCATTTCCAAGCGTAATAAGCGCATCCGAGTTATCGCGAAAAGTGGCTTCAACGGTCACGCTGCATTATTTCAAGCATTTTTTCCAACCGTGTTTATAACATCGTTTATGTTTATAACATCGAATCGTTAGAAGAATTTGCAGTACCCTTTGCCAATCGAAGGCAAATCTGAGGTGATCATGGAGGAAAAAAGTTTCCTGGTGAGGGAATTTTCGAAATCAACAAGTGGGTAGCGTAATAAGCGCATGAACCCAACTCGATGTGAATAAACAAAAACTTCAAAATGGCCAGCACAGCGGCTGCTGTTATCAAAGAAGGGCAACCAGATTTAAATAAAATAATGAGCAAACAAAACAAAACTCGCGAGAGATAAAACAGAAAATAATAACTAGGAAACTTCAAATTTCAAGTAGGACATTTTTGTCGTAATCGTTAAGTACCGATCCTAAACTGTCGTTGCTCAAAAAAGTCCAACTCACTAAGGCATTTCCATCATCGTCGAATTGCAGTTCCACGTCGTCGACTACACCGTTCAAATTTTGGAAAATGCGTGACACCGAATCGAGCCCGATTTTGAGATCTTTCTAAAGGATTCAGATCGTTATCTTTCTTATCTTAGGTCCAAGATTTTCTGCCTTTTCCTCAGTGGATGCGGTAATCTTGACATTTTTCGCAATTCAGATTAGCGGAAAATGTTAACACGGACTGAGAGTTGACCCAACTTGGGATAATGAATGGCGCAGAATAAATATGGCAAAGATGGTTGAGATAGGAAGCGCGTGATCTAAAGGGAACCAGGGATCTACTAATTTCTTCCACGCCAGCCAAATCTTTCACCCCCCAGTAACGGTCAATTGGTGCCAGATTCCTTCACGAGAACCAAAGCTGTGGCTTGATCTGCATCGGATG